TTAGACAACCCGTAACTGAAATATTTATTTATTATTTTTATTATATTTTGGGGGGTGGTCCGTAGAGGGGATCCGTAGGGGGAGTCCGTGGTCCGGTCCGTAGGGTAGTCCGCGGACCCGGTCCGTAGTGGGGGTCCGCGGACCGGGGGTCAGTGTTTTCGGGTTACCCGAAAACACCGTTTTCAAATTCCCCGGGGAAACTGGCTTTAGGGCGAAACGACCGCAATTCGTGTGGACGGGGCCTTGTGTGTCTAGTGTATGACTTCCGTCCCGGCTACAACGTCTTGAAAAGGTGAAGACCTCAAATGTGCGTTGGTTATAAAGAAGCCAGCAGGAAACAGTAAAAGAAGCACAGTAATCAGTTAACCTTAACATTACACCATCCAGGAATGCTAGAAAGAATCTCTTGTGTGAAGTTAACTCCTGAAGGACTGAAAAATACGGCAAACGATGGAAGCCCCTAGAAAAAAAAGAAGTGAAAACAGAAATATAGCTTAACTATCAAGTCTTATCAAATACAGTCAGTCCATAAAAAATGTCTCACTAAGGTTTCTATTCAATACTGAATTGTTGTACTACTATGAGCTGATAACTGAAAATGCAGATTGCAGACTGTTGATTGTCCAGTGAGGTTAATAGTACACCCCACTAAAATGGTTCGTTTCCCGTAGTCCTGACTTTCGTTAAAGTGGATTTGTCGGCTGGTAGGTTACGAAACAAAAAGCCAAGATAAAAATATTGACAAGGAGATGTCGTTGTGACGGTTGGTTCAGATTTGCAAAGCATATTAAACTTGGAAACTTGGAAACCTGGTTACACTACTGCAAGGAAAATTGGGTCGCGGTCCCGCGATGGGGCGTTTAACAAAACATGTATTGGCCTTATCAAGATTTATAGTGTGTCGCTGACAATTCACTGTCTTGGAGTTCACTTCATATTACAACCAAAAATCGAACTCGACTATTCCATGTAATTGGAAAGTAGCAAGTTGTTCCAAGATTACCTTTTCTCGTATAAAATCTTCCAAAGACTGCTTTATCTTGGAATCAGCGCATGTACTGTATACCTGAATACCGTCAAGTGCTATCTCTGCAACATAATGACAAAATGTAATCCACATTTACTGCCAACCAACTCAACAAGTGTAGTTATACACGTGTAGTTAAACTGGTTTATTAAAACAGTTGACTGTTTAAACACGCGTCCGGTTTAATCCAACCATAAATGACTCGTAAATGGCGCACACTTGAGGAAAAAAATCCGGTAAGTAACAAAACCTGAAACCTGAGATGACATGGAGAAACACGATTCAAACTATCTGGCCATAAGGATGGTTTAATTTGCATCTCTCAATAATTTCTTAATTCCCAAATTATATAATACACAAGACATGGAGATTGTTAAGAAAATCAGTCCATATGTGGATCCTGAAGTAAACCCTCTGTTTGTCACTTTGAACAATAGTGCTCTGGGTTGTGATATTGTTGGGGAAAAGAGAGAGGCAAGAAAGCAGGTGAAGAAAACACAATGACAAGACAACAAAATGAGACACTGTACTGTTCTCTTTAAACTCATTTTTCCCCACAAGTACCAATCAAGAGCATTGTTCAGGGCACTTGCTTGGAAAACAGCCCAAATGTGTTTGAAATCCTGTACAGCTTCATAAAGTTATGGTGGCACTGTAAAGGTTGTCAGTCCAGTGGTGGGGAGGGGGGATGGTACTCGCTTATAGAAAGGACAGGAGTACTCATCATACTTTAAGGTGTCAAAGAGTTGTTTTGGTACCTTTAAGGGTGTTGAACCTCCAAAGCTCCACAGTGGGAGCCTTTAGCGGTACCTTTTAGGGTATTGAGCTGAAAAAAGTCAGTGTCAGTTAATGTGTTGTTGAATTGGTACCTCTTAGAGTTGAAAAAAAATTTTCTTGAGCCACGCCAACAAAACAAGACCTTGGTACCTCTTAGGGGTTCTTTTCAAAATTTCCGACGAGAAAACACATCCTTTCTATATGGGATTTCCCCCATGGAGTTTTCAGGTGCTTAAAACTGACATCAGTTAACAATGTGTTTCACCTGCTTTGGCCATCTCACTTGGTATTGTCTCTCTTCTCAAGTTACCACACGGAAACAATAGTGGACTACTACTGGGCTTGATGGCTAAATAGCAATTGTAAACAGAAAAACAAACAATTAATCAACAATTTTATAATGAGTAATTTTAAAACTAATACTGGGCTACGTTACATCATCATAATTAGTGATAATCACGCATCAATCATGATGTCACTGAGGGCCAAAATGACACCACACATTTCAAAATGTTGCCACCTTGAATCCCCTATCTTGGATTTCAAAAAAAATTTAAATAAGCCAAAGCACCTCCAAAATGGATTTAAAATATCAGGGAAAATATAAGGATACAAGAAATGTACATGTAAAGAATAAAATTATCATAAAATCAAATTTGGAAACTAAATCAGAAATTTGAATGGGTAAAAATTAAATTTGGTAAAACACCCTTCAAAATCATGGTTGCCATAGAACTGTCAAGTTATTTAATGAAACAAATGACACACCAAAACGTTTTTGTAACAAAAGATCAAAATTAGCACAGGGGGATTCCCCCCTTTCTCCTCCCAAGGCCAAAAGGGTTTGATGGATGTAAAAGTGTACATGACAAAAAAGAGAGAAACTGGCAAAAAAAAGGACATAAAGCACTGCAAACTAACACTGAAGAATGATTGGAACCAGAGCATCTGCACTGCCTGTGTCGTGTCCAGAACTTTCCAGTCCAAGCCTCTCACTGGCTGACAGAAATATAACAAAACTTACTGATTCTCATAGCACAGTAAGTAGCACTTGTTATATTTAAGGAATAATTATTGTTGTTTCCTATACATGGACCCTAAGTTAACTGCATTAGCTTATTATCAGACAATTGAAATGCTAATTGACTGCTTACACAGATCTTTGCTTGTTTATTTTTTTTTCAAACAACTGGTCTCTGTAGTTCTTAATCACGTCCAGATGTAACTTCCTTTGACACTGACAAGTTACCCTGCTTTGTATTTATTATAATGCTGCAAGAAGACTTTAGGGTAGAAGGGTTAAAGTGATAGTTAAAAAAGCCTGTAACCACTTATAAGAAAAAATGCAACAAAAACTACAGCTACCTAGTGTAACTTACCAGCCTTTGCTGTAGCTTTTCCAACCACAAATATTGCCTTTTCTCTCCACCCTTTTACAGTCTCACATCTCCAAACTGAGGACAATAAACTATCATCAAGTCACAACAAGAAGGTAAGGAACTACAAATAAATTTAATGTTAAAGTTTAAAGTTAAAGTTTAAATCTGAGACAAAAGTGACAATACCAGCAAAAATCACCCTTCACTGGGACAACAGAACATGCTCTCACCTTCATGTGATATAAAATTTGTCACACAGAGCTCCATAGCTTCCACTGCACGCTGGCTTGTGAGAACCATACCTGCACACCACAAATTTTTGAGCAATTTATTTGATATCGCTAGAAACACTTAGCATTTATTTGCATTATTCAAATTAAATTAAAATATGTAATCTCTTTGGTTTTTTTTTCTTAAAGCTGGAAAAGCCTGTTGAACTAGTCAGTGGTAGATGCTGGTAGAGAATTCCAAATTTTAGTACCTTGATAGAGTGAAGGAAAAACTAGGGTACAGTCTTGGGAGGGACCTTCATTGAGTTCTTTAACTCTCCCCTCCCTTTATTCAAGCAAGGAATGTTTCACCTTCACTGTGGCACCCGGGGTGGGGGTACTCCCTATAATGGCCTATATGGGGAGGCTCCACCCGAAAGGGCTACCATTTTGTGGCTTCAGGCATATAAAAGGGTAGGGATTTTGCAAGCTGAGGTATATGACAGGGTATGGAAATCTGTCATTTAGTTATTTTTAAGGGCCTTTAATTAAAATATTTGGAATAGACACACCTTATGGCTGTATCGTTTCATTTATTAGGCACTACTTGAAAATGACAAGAAGACTTGTCCTCCTTTTTTGGCAGTTTATTCATAATACGGGCTAGTTATGAAAGTATGTGAAAGGGGTTCCTTTTTTCATTTAAAGGTATACCAAAAGGGTACCTTTTCTGTCAAAATGGTAAACAAAAGGGTAAGGGGTTGGACCTTGCGGGGACAGCCTCCCTGTATAGAATTTTGTAGAGTACCCCCTGGGCTGTGATACATGTAGCCCCCAGGTCTTCTTTGCTTATAACACCCCCTTCTCCAACCCTGGAGGAAATTCTGCTGCAGACAAAGGTTTCAATTGGTTTTTATATAGTACCTTCATATTTACTTGGCTCCTCGAGTCTTTTAGTCAGCTCCTGTTGGTTATCAAACTTGAATGAAAGGACTGGAATTGAGAAAGGTTCAAAACCATGAGCCTGAAATTCCTGACAAATGAAGGAAAATAAATTATCACTGTAATTTAATTTAAGATGTAGCATATAATCCACTACTGAAGAAGAGCTGCATTTAACACTTGTAATTATTACAGTTGAATTACTATTATTTTTACATTGCGTTTTACCATGAAAAAGTGGGGGAGGGAGCAGTCCCTACCCCTGCCTGGTCCCTGATAAGATTGCATCATAAGGTAGAAAAAAAAAGAGAGAAGTCACCTTTCCTCTAATTTCAGAAGAACTCAACTGAGTGGCAAGATTGATATAAGCCAGTCTCCATTTTGAAGAATAATGCAATGACTTACACATTATCTTGCTCCAGGAAACATCCATACCCTCCCATGGAGGAATTTTCCATTTAAAACCCCAAACCACCCCCCTCTCCCCTATGCCCATCCCTCTGGGAATTCCAGTTTTGGTTTATACTTAACTATTAACTGAGCAGGGGGTCTGTATGGGAAAATCTTGACCAAGGTTGTGAGTACAAACGGCCGAGGTCAAGATTCTCCCATACAGACCGACTAAGCTCAGTTAATAAAATGTTTATTATGTGGCAAAAACTTAATTCGTTTAACGTAACTGGTTTGCACTAGCTCACACTTTGATTGAGAATGGCAATGAGCTGAACTTAAAACTGCCAAAGTCCGCTCGTCCTCTTTACTTTTTTCTTTATATAATAATTTCTTGAAAACTTTCGGCTTTAGAGACCCCCACTCCCTTTGAATTTCCAATAACTTTCCTTGATGTAGGTATTTAAACTTACTAGAACCACACGTTGTGCTGGGGAAGGGGCAGGGAAAGGTCAAATGTACATAATTTCAGGGTGAGGGGGGCGCGGGGGTGACATAAGTGCATCGAGTAATGCATCAGGTCCAAGTACATTTACTGGTCGACATTTTTGAACAACAAATGAAATATTAATACTCGGCGCACTTACACAGCATAATTTTGACAATTCTCTCACCCCAGGGCCCTGCTGAAGTAAGCTTATCATAGTCAACTTTTCGTAAACTTGAATGTTTAGGGATTATATGTTAATGTATATGTTAACAATCACTTGGCAATACTGCTTAATTCTTTTATTTGTGTACTAGTATATTTACACCTAAATCTGTTCCTTACCTTATGGTATTCATCTTGTGCAGGCGGTGCAGTAGGGGAACGAAACAATGCAACCACCGGCGCCATATCAACAAACTTTCGAAACAGAGAACTTTTGCCTTCGTTATCTGAGTTGTTCCACCTTCAGGTCTTGGTCTGTGATATTTTCTTGATCACAAGGCGTTTTATTCCTTTGTTCGTTGATTTATCCCTCACGAAAAATAATTGCATATTTTCGGCCACTGCAGCCGCCATATTGGTTGGTCCGAAAGGAACTGGAGCCGAACGACAGCCTATTCTCGCCCCCATACCCTTTTCGCTCTCCGCCATAATGTATGTGAATTTTAATAGCTCAATTTGATATTTGCCTGCACGTAAGGATACAAAAGTAGACAGGAAAATAGTTTTCTGATCAAATCTAAGGTAGCTTTCCTGAAGAGCATTTTGTTGATTTTTAAATTATCCATATATTTTCCTGATTGAGTGAAACATGGTCAAAGCCTTCGAACTGATTTTACTGAAAAACGGGGTGAAGTTATTAAAAGCCGGCGACTGAAATGCTTTCACTGGTCAGATATCGAATGTTTGCAGATTATGAATGTTTTAGATTACGTAACAGAGACCGGGGTAACTGGGAAGGGGTCAATGGGGGCGAATAGAGGGGAACGTCGAAAGAGCTGAAAGCAGTTTGGCCGCTAACTAACTGTGTAACTTGGTCGAATACCATTTCGTGTTATCGGGAGGTATCTGGAGAACTTGTCAAAACAGCGTTCAGCACAACAAGTCAATTGTTCACTCAAACGCAACTAAAACATTAGAAACACACTAACAATATAATGGTTCCCAAAACAATGATTACAAATATAGGCCCGTTTATGAAAGTTGATGTTGGCTCGTGCGGGCCGATATAAACGGTGTTATATCGTGAAGGGCTCTTCACGGCGTGCAGGGAGGCAAGAGGCTCACTTAAGCTCTAGATTGAAGAGAAAACATTGTCAGGAAACAAACAGAGAACCGTGCACAGTGTGTGTAGATAACCAATACTGCTGTTTTTCTGTGCTGGTTTGTGAACGGTTAAGCGACAAGTCGTGAAAATCTCAACCGAATCTCTTTGATTTTGATGCTGTACTTGAGTGAATAGAATGCATGTAAGTAGTCTACAAAGCCTTAGAACATTCGTAATGGGTCATGTGTAATTTGCGCAAAATGAATATGTCTTTTTGAGTAAGTAGATTTCTTCGTGAAATCACAGTAATAGGCTTGAAAGAAGAGCAATATGTTTGAAAGTGATTATATATCAAGGGTAAAAATTGTGATATCTCTGTAATTCTTATGTTCAGTTGCTCTGTAACAGGAAGTTTTTTATGCATACGGAGGTTTCATCAAAATTCTTTACAATTTCCCGGTGAAGCCTTAACTTTTCATCAGTAAATTTTGAAAACGCGGCATCTACTACATGGATTCTTCTCCCGATAGTGATTGTTATTTTGTTCCATGAGATGCACGACAATCAAATAAAATTCGCATCAATCGTGTCTTTTACTTTCATCATATATGCAAATATTTTCAAACTGATGGAAAGCAATGTGAAGATCGGCGCTAAAAATGCTTTGGGATTTGGCTGAAGAAAGCTCAGCTAATTTTTCGACGAGTACTAGCAGTCATCTATCTATCAAAGTGTTTTCTTTTTTATCTTCTCATGAACGTGTTAGCCGCGAAGAAAAACAGATATGAAGTGAATTTAAGTCCCGTGCATATAGTTTTTTTTTTCTTTTACTGCTTATCATTATCATTTTTTCACCTTTAATTCTTGTGATAATGCTTATCAGCATACCGCCGTATTTACTTCTCTAAGGTATCCTGACTTTAAAGAAACCAAGAAAAAATACACCTTAACAAAAATATCTATTTATCGTGTTTCCGAAAGTATTTGCCGATACAGCTGGATAAGATTCGGGGCCTCGGCGACAACCTCGCTTCAATTGAAGACTCGCTCATAATGAGACAAGCAGTGATTTTTATCAACCCTGGTCCTAACAATAAACAGCCCAAGTGTGCAAAATCAGTAATCGCACAATTTCCTCCTACACAGCGGGGGTCCAGTTTTAATTTGCAATTTGAACACTATCAGCTGCTAAGATATGAAAAGAAAATGAAGAATCTGTTGTGTAACATATAGCTGTTATACAATCGAACCGGATCAAAACGACCTATTTATCAGGTCTACAATTTACTNAAGTGTAGTTATACACGTGTAGTTAAACTGGTTTATTAAAACAGTTGACTGTTTAAACACGCGTCCGGTTTAATCCAACCATAAATGACTCGTAAATGGCGCACACTTGAGGAAAAAAATCCGGTAAGTAACAAAACCTGAAACCTGAGATGACATGGAGAAACACGATTCAAACTATCTGGCCATAAGGATGGTTTAATTTGCATCTCTCAATAATTTCTTAATTCCCAAATTATATAATACACAAGACATGGAGATTGTTAAGAAAATCAGTCCATATGTGGATCCTGAAGTAAACCCTCTGTTCGTCACTTTGAACAATAGTGCTCTGGGTTGTGATATTGTTGGGGAAAAGAGAGAGGCAAGAAAGCAGGTGAAGAAAACACAATGACAAGACAACAAAATGAGACACTGTACTGTTCTCTTTAAACTCATTTTTCCCCACAAGTACCAATCAAGAGCATTGTTCAGGGCACTTGCTTGGAAAACAGCCCAAATGTGTTTGAAATCCTGTACAGCTTCATAAAGTTATGGTGGCACTGTAAAGGTTGTCAGTCCAGTGGTGGGGAGGGGGGATGGTACTCGCTTATAGAAAGGACAGGAGTACTCATCATACTTTAAGGTGTCAAAGAGTTGTTTTGGTACCTTTAAGGGTGTTGAACCTCCAAAGCTCCACAGTGGGAGCCTTTAGCGGTACCTTTTAGGGTATTGAGCTGAAAAAAGTCAGTGTCAGTTAATGTGTTGTTGAATTGGTACCTCTTAGAGTTGAAAAAAAATTTTCTTGAGCCACGCCAACAAAACAAGACCTTGGTACCTCTTAGGGGTTCTTTTCAAAATTTCCGACGAGAAAACACATCCTTTCTATATGGGATTTCCCCCATGGAGTTTTCAGGTGCTTAAAACTGACATCAGTTAACAATGTGTTTCACCTGCTTTGGCCATCTCACTTGGTATTGTCTCTCTTCTCAAGTTACCACACGGAAACAATAGTGGACTACTACTGGGCTTGATGGCTAAATAGCAATTGTAAACAGAAAAACAAACAATTAATCAACAATTTTATAATGAGTAATTTTAAAACTAATACTGGGCTACGTTACATCATCATAATTAGTGATAATCACGCATCAATCATGATGTCACTGAGGGCCAAAATGACACCACACATTTCAAAATGTTGCCACCTTGAATCCCCTATCTTGGATTTCAAAAAAAATTTAAATAAGCCAAAGCACCTCCAAAATGGATTTAAAATATCAGGGAAAATATAAGGATACAAGAAATGTACATGTAAAGAATAAAATTATCATAAAATCAAATTTGGAAACTAAATCAGAAATTTGAATGGGTAAAAATTAAATTTGGTAAAACACCCTTCAAAATCATGGTTGCCATAGAACTGTCAAGTTATTTAATGAAACAAATGACACACCAAAACGTTTTTGTAACAAAAGATCAAAATTAGCACAGGGGGATTCCCCCCTTTCTCCTCCCAAGGCCAAAAGGGTTTGATGGATGTAAAAGTGTACATGACAAAAAAGAGAGAAACTGGCAAAAAAAAGGACATAAAGCACTGCAAACTAACACTGAAGAATGATTGGAACCAGAGCATCTGCACTGCCTGTGTCGTGTCCAGAACTTTCCAGTCCAAGCCTCTCACTGGCTGACAGAAATATAACAAAACTTACTGATTCTCATAGCACAGTAAGTAGCACTTGTTATATTTAAGGAATAATTATTGTTGTTTCCTATACATGGACCCTAAGTTAACTGCATTAGCTTATTATCAGACAATTGAAATGCTAATTGACTGCTTACACAGATCTTTGCTTGTTTATTTTTTTTTCAAACAACTGGTCTCTGTAGTTCTTAATCACGTCCAGATGTAACTTCCTTTGACACTGACAAGTTACCCTGCTTTGTATTTATTATAATGCTGCAAGAAGACTTTAGGGTAGAAGGGTTAAAGTGATAGTTAAAAAAGCCTGTAACCACTTATAAGAAAAAATGCAACAAAAACTACAGCTACCTAGTGTAACTTACCAGCCTTTGCTGTAGCTTTTCCAACCACAAATATTGCCTTTTCTCTCCACCCTTTTACAGTCTCACATCTCCAAACTGAGGACAATAAACTATCATCAAGTCACAACAAGAAGGTAAGGAACTACAAATAAATTTAATGTTAAAGTTTAAAGTTAAAGTTTAAATCTGAGACAAAAGTGACAATACCAGCAAAAATCACCCTTCACTGGGACAACAGAACATGCTCTCACCTTCATGTGATATAAAATTTGTCACACAGAGCTCCATAGCTTCCACTGCACGCTGGCTTGTGAGAACCATACCTGCACACCACAAATTTTTGAGCAATTTATTTGATATCGCTAGAAACACTTAGCATTTATTTGCATTATTCAAATTAAATTAAAATATGTAATCTCTTTGGTTTTTTTTTCTTAAAGCTGGAAAAGCCTGTTGAACTAGTCAGTGGTAGATGCTGGTAGAGAATTCCAAATTTTAGTACCTTGATAGAGTGAAGGAAAAACTAGGGTACAGTCTTGGGAGGGACCTTCATTGAGTTCTTTAACTCTCCCCTCCCTTTATTCAAGCAAGGAATGTTTCACCTTCACTGTGGCACCCGGGGTGGGGGTACTCCCTATAATGGCCTATATGGGGAGGCTCCACCCGAAAGGGCTACCATTTTGTGGCTTCAGGCATATAAAAGGGTAGGGATTTTGCAAGCTGAGGTATATGACAGGGTATGGAAATCTGTCATTTAGTTATTTTTAAGGGCCTTTAATTAAAATATTTGGAATAGACACACCTTATGGCTGTATCGTTTCATTTATTAGGCACTACTTGAAAATGACAAGAAGACTTGTCCTCCTTTTTTGGCAGTTTATTCATAATACGGGCTAGTTATGAAAGTATGTGAAAGGGGTTCCTTTTTTCATTTAAAGGTATACCAAAAGGGTACCTTTTCTGTCAAAATGGTAAACAAAAGGGTAAGGGGTTGGACCTTGCGGGGACAGCCTCCCTGTATAGAATTTTGTAGAGTACCCCCTGGGCTGTGATACATGTAGCCCCCAGGTCTTCTTTGCTTATAACACCCCCTTCTCCAACCCTGGAGGAAATTCTGCTGCAGACAAAGGTTTCAATTGGTTTTTATATAGTACCTTCGTATTTACTTGGCTCCTCGAGTCTTTTAGTCAGCTCCTGTTGGTTATCAAACTTGAATGAAAGGACTGGAATTGAGAAAGGTTCAAAACCATGAGCCTGAAATTCCTGACAAATGAAGGAAAATAAATTATCACTGTAATTTAATTTAAGATGTAGCATATAATCCACTACTGAAGAAGAGCTGCATTTAACACTTGTAATTATTACAGTTGAATTACTATTATTTTTACATTGCGTTTTACCATGAAAAAGTGGGGGAGGGAGCAGTCCCTACCCCTGCCTGGTCCCTGATAAGATTGCATCATAAGGTAGAAAAAAAAAGAGAGAAGTCACCTTTCCTCTAATTTCAGAAGAACTCAACTGAGTGGCAAGATTGATATAAGCCAGTCTCCATTTTGAAGAATAATGCAATGACTTACACATTATCTTGCTCCAGGAAACATCCATACCCTCCCATGGAGGAATTTTCCATTTAAAACCCCAAACCACCCCCCTCTCCCCTATGCCCATCCCTCTGGGAATTCCAGTTTTGGTTTATACTTAACTATTAACTGAGCAGGGGGTCTGTATGGGAAAATCTTGACCAAGGTTGTGAGTACAAACGGCCGAGGTCAAGATTCTCCCATACAGACCGACTAAGCTCAGTTAATAAAATGTTTATTATGTGGCAAAAACTTAATTCGTTTAACGTAACTGGTTTGCACTAGCTCACACTTTGATTGAGAATGGCAATGAGCTGAACTTAAAACTGCCAAAGTCCGCTCGTCCTCTTTACTTTTTTCTTTATATAATAATTTCTTGAAAACTTTCGGCTTTAGAGACCCCCACTCCCTTTGAATTTCCAATAACTTTCCTTGATGTAGGTATTTAAACTTACTAGAACCACACGTTGTGCTGGGGAAGGGGCAGGGAAAGGTCAAATGTACATAATTTCAGGGTGAGGGGGGCGCGGGGGTGACATAAGTGCATCGAGTAATGCATCAGGTCCAAGTACATTTACTGGTCGACATTTTTGAACAACAAATGAAATATTAATACTCGGCGCACTTACACAGCATAATTTTGACAATTCTCTCACCCCAGGGCCCTGCTGAAGTAAGCTTATCATAGTCAACTTTTCGTAAACTTGAATGTTTAGGGATTATATGTTAATGTATATGTTAACAATCACTTGGCAATACTGCTTAATTCTTTTATTTGTGTACTAGTATATTTACACCTAAATCTGTTCCTTACCTTATGGTATTCATCTTGTGCAGGCGGTGCAGTAGGGGAACGAAACAATGCAACCACCGGCGCCATATCAACAAACTTTCGAAACAGAGAACTTTTGCCTTCGTTATCTGAGTTGTTCCACCTTCAGGTCTTGGTCTGTGATATTTTCTTGATCACAAGGCGTTTTATTCCTTTGTTCGTTGATTTATCCCTCACGAAAAATAATTGCATATTTTCGGCCACTGCAGCCGCCATATTGGTTGGTCCGAAAGGAACTGGAGCCGAACGACAGCCTATTCTCGCCCCCATACCCTTTTCGCTCTCCGCCATAATGTATGTGAATTTTAATAGCTCAATTTGATATTTGCCTGCACGTAAGGATACAAAAGTAGACAGGAAAATAGTTTTCTGATCAAATCTAAGGTAGCTTTCCTGAAGAGCATTTTGTTGATTTTTAAATTATCCATATATTTTCCTGATTGAGTGAAACATGGTCAAAGCCTTCGAACTGATTTTACTGAAAAACGGGGTGAAGTTATTAAAAGCCGGCGACTGAAATGCTTTCACTGGTCAGATATCGAATGTTTGCAGATTATGAATGTTTTAGATTACGTAACAGAGACCGGGGTAACTGGGAAGGGGTCAATGGGGGCGAATAGAGGGGAACGTCGAAAGAGCTGAAAGCAGTTTGGCCGCTAACTAACTGTGTAACTTGGTCGAATACCATTTCGTGTTATCGGGAGGTATCTGGAGAACTTGTCAAAACAGCGTTCAGCACAACAAGTCAATTGTTCACTCAAACGCAACTAAAACATTAGAAACACACTAACAATATAATGGTTCCCAAAACAATGATTACAAATATAGGCCCGTTTATGAAAGTTGATGTTGGCTCGTGCGGGCCGATATAAACGGTGTTATATCGTGAAGGGCTCTTCACGGCGTGCAGGGAGGCAAGAGGCTCACTTAAGCTCTAGATTGAAGAGAAAACATTGTCAGGAAACAAACAGAGAACCGTGCACAGTGTGTGTAGATAACCAATACTGCTGTTTTTCTGTGCTGGTTTGTGAACGGTTAAGCGACAAGTCGTGAAAATCTCAACCGAATCTCTTTGATTTTGATGCTGTACTTGAGTGAATAGAATGCATGTAAGTAGTCTACAAAGCCTTAGAACATTCGTAATGGGTCATGTGTAATTTGCGCAAAATGAATATGTCTTTTTGAGTAAGTAGATTTCTTCGTGAAATCACAGTAATAGGCTTGAAAGAAGAGCAATATGTTTGAAAGTGATTATATATCAAGGGTAAAAATTGTGATATCTCTGTAATTCTTATGTTCAGTTGCTCTGTAACAGGAAGTTTTTTATGCATACGGAGGTTTCATCAAAATTCTTTACAATTTCCCGGTGAAGCCTTAACTTTTCATCAGTAAATTTTGAAAACGCGGCATCTACTACATGGATTCTTCTCCCGATAGTGATTGTTATTTTGTTCCATGAGATGCACGACAATCAAATAAAATTCGCATCAATCGTGTCTTTTACTTTCATCATATATGCAAATATTTTCAAACTGATGGAAAGCAATGTGAAGATCGGCGCTAAAAATGCTTTGGGATTTGGCTGAAGAAAGCTCAGCTAATTTTTCGACGAGTACTAGCAGTCATCTATCTATCAAAGTGTTTTCTTTTTTATCTTCTCATGAACGTGTTAGCCGCGAAGAAAAACAGATATGAAGTGAATTTAAGTCCCGTGCATATAGTTTTTTTTTTCTTTTACTGCTTATCATTATCATTTTTTCACCTTTAATTCTTGTGATAATGCTTATCAGCATACCGCCGTATTTACTTCTCTAAGGTATCCTGACTTTAAAGAAACCAAGAAAAAATACACCTTAACAAAAATATCTATTTATCGTGTTTCCGAAAGTATTTGCCGATACAGCTGGATAAGATTCGGGGCCTCGGCGACAACCTCGCTTCAATTGAAGACTCGCTCATAATGAGACAAGCAGTGATTTTTATCAACCCTGGTCCTAACAATAAACAGCCCAAGTGTGCAAAATCAGTAATCGCACAATTTCCTCCTACACAGCGGGGGTCCAGTTTTAATTTGCAATTTGAACACTATCAGCTGCTAAGATATGAAAAGAAAATGAAGAATCTGTTGTGTAACATATAGCTGTTATACAATCGAACCGGATCAAAACGACCTATTTATCAGGTCTACAATTTACTTTGAAGCCTAAGTACATAAAAAATTCAGTCACTTGAAAAACTCACAAAAAGCCGCTAACCACATTTATATAATTTGAAATGATGACATTAATATGTCACAGGTTAGACCAATGGCTGCTAAGCACCAACTACACCGATATTTCTAAAAAAAAACAACCTTTTTCTTAAAATGTTATCTGCCATTGGCTATTTCTATCAATGAATACTCTTGTTAGATGATACATACTTGAGACCAGCAGCCGCTAATGGACTTGGAGAATAATGGAGTCTTCTCCTCGTTCTGGCACACTGCTGTTTTTCAGTACACTGTTGAAATCAGATAAAAAAAGAAACCTCAAGCAAACTAACGCAGGAAGTACTACTCGCAATAAAGTGTCATTTTTTTAACAGGATAAATTTCTTTTTGACTTTGTTCAATCTGACAGCATGCGATTATGCCTTTGACTTTCACACAAAGAAAAACCAATATAGAACTCACCTCAAAATTAATTAATTGGATGTTTTTTGTATATTTTTGACACCATTTCTCAAAGAACTTCCGCACGAAAACACTGTTAATCCTAATTGAGTCAAATTTTACAACCAAGTGATTCATATGGTAATATTAGCGTTGAAAACCTTATCTTAATTGCGGTTACGCGAACTAATCGCCATATCGATCGCGTGCCACGTTTTTGCCTTTCCGCACTTCTATTTCATGTTTGCCGAAAACTTCGCCGCTAGCATTCACTTAACGTTTGATTCAAGTAATCTTTAATGGCTGCCTCTTTTACCATCGGTTTAATGTACATGGCTGAATCCTGATGTACTGTACTTAACTGTAAAGTTTGGTTTATTTAGATGCCTAATAGTCCTGGTCGACATTTGGAGAAAGCTTGGCTACCTTGCATTGCAGAACAGCTTTTGAAGAAAAAACATTAGATCAACATTTGAGAAGGTAAGGTCGTGGTCTTTGCGTTATCTCCTTCGAACAAGAGCGTTTTTACGTGGCTTTGCTGAAAATATAAATTCCGTGCTGATTTTGCTAGGGTTTGTTGAACGAAAACATTAATAAAACAAGAGAGGGATATCGAAAGTGATTGTCATGCCTACTTTCAATACATTTTTAAATAAGTTTTCCACCACTAAAGAAGTTAATTCGTGGTATTTTGAGTTATTTTGGCCACTTACAAAATTACCTTTAAAGTGGAGCTGAAAATAATAGTTTCAGGAGACTAAGATAGAAAAACAACAGGATGGTTAAGGATGGAGAAGATTAATATGGTTATTACAAACGAAAAACTTGAAAAATTTAGGCTAAACTTTTTAAGATGCGCAAATCGTGACGTAGCTCCTTTACAGTTGTGTGAATGACATCTCGAATCATTTAGTTCTTTCATTTGTTTTCAGAAGGTGTTATTTTCATCGCCGTTTTCCTCTCTACTCCAACGTTTATCACAGCGACAGGAGCTCCAATTCAGCTGCATTCGGCAATGGCTCTTGCAGCTTCCGGCTCTAGAAGGCACACAGTCGCTCCTGAACCTGGTCCCGAGTGGCAAGTAGCCAGGCATCAGTGGGGATTATCTTGGCAACTACACTGGATAGGACTGGGTCTGGCGTTTGCTTTCCTAGCCTGCAGGTCCTTGTGGGCAGTAATTCGGTCTCCCGATGTCAATAGCCGTTTTGCTCGGAGAAACCTCTTCTATGCAATCAACTGGCTTCTGGTAGCACTGGGCACCACAAGGGGTTTGTATCTGATGCTTGACCCATACGAGTCAGGAGAAAACATCCCTAACTGCCCTTTATGGGTGGTCAGACCTCTTTTTGGCATCGCATTTCCCTGCCTCATGTCTGCATTTTGTCTCGTACACGTTGCTTTCTTGGAAGTGGCCAAGATTAAGCTCGTTTCGCCAAAACTCAGCAGCGTCCGTTTCATTGGTGGCATAATCCTCGTGCATTTTGCTGTTGTCGTCGTGTCGGATACAACCACCGCAATCGAAGCAAACAGAACAGAACTGGTAATTGTGTGCCAGTCATTCTTCATAATATGGGGCCTTCTTAACTCAATCTCATTTATTTACAGTGGGACACGAGTAGTGGTTAAAACTCGCAACATTAGAAATCGCATTTGTGACATGGAAAAGGCTGAGTGGAATCTGCAGGTGCGTTCAGTTGATCAAGCTGGTGCAGTAACTGAAAAGCATGAAGATACAGCTAAAAGTCCAAACACACTAGAAAAAGATCGCAATGCAGACGGTCTAAGAGTCACTTACACTGTACAGCCACCTACGTTTGGTAATCATCTTACCGCGGACGCTCGAGACACCCTTGGCAAACAGGAGGTCTCGAGCCAGGAACCAAAATCTACCAAAAGAAAGAAACATTGTAATGCTACTTTTGCTCCCACCAGGAGAGAGCGTGCCTTGCAAAAAATTGCCAGTATCACAGTAATGGCAAGTGTTCTAAGCATTTGCTGCTGTGCTCTTCAAGTCTATTCCTTCTTTGGAGTTTATGGCGCCTATTCCACGATTGTGTCACCCAAGCCGTGGCCGTGGCTAGCATTCCAGACGTCCTTTAGGTTGGTGGAGCTGTCCATGGCTTTCATGTTATCTTACTGCGTTCTTCGCTCAGATGCTTGTTGTACACGAGGTCTACTTACTCGGTTAGTCACCCTCAAGAGAGAAAAAAAGACTCGAACTCCTCGCATAAAAATAATCCGAGTCAAAGATCCAGTGCAGGGTGAACTTGCATAAAAGATGTCTACTTGATATGACTCGATCTCAGTCAACCCGGAACCTAATCCCGAGCGTACTCAACAAAGTTTTATGTTCCGCCCGCAGGGCCAGTCCTTTACTCTTTTGTATACCATTTTGACCGAAAAGATACCCCTCTCGTATAACTTTTATGGAAAAAATGTGCCTCATTCATAACCAGCCCGTATTATAAATAAATCGCCAAAAAAAAGAAGTCTTCTCGTCATTTTCATGTGGTGCTTAATAAATTAAATGATATAGCCGTAAGATGCGTCTGTTCGAAATATCTTAATAAAGGCCTTTTTAAATAACTAAATGACAGATTTCCCTATCCTTTCATATACATCCACTTGTGAAATCCCTGACATTTTATATACCTGAAGCCTGAAAAAGGTGCCCCTTTCGGGCGGACCCTCCCCGTATAGGCCATTATTGGGAGTACCCCCCGGAACCTAAATTGGATGTCTATCACAACCACTAAAACAATTTCTAGAGTTTACGTTAAAACATTTAGAACCTAGCGTTACAAAGGGGCGAGCTAGTGTAAGGAAAATGAGCCATGACTTTCAGGTCGATCAGCTATTGATGACAACTCAGCAAACTGCAATTAATATATCAACAAATTGTTACCTTTCAATGAATAAACATTTAATCGTCGTTCTTTCTTTTTAGAAACTCATGACTATACTTTTTGGCCTGCATAGATAAAAGATATCTGAGAGGATGCTGGTTAATATTGAAAAATAACTAAGACAGACACTTTTGGGACTCGTTGCTGATGTTGGTAAATATCACATTTACGACCTGGCTTCAATTCTCATGTAAAATTTCATTATGATAGCTGAGTAATTAGCCCATTTCCGAACAACCTTTAGCCTCTTTCTCAAGGCGAGTCTTGGTGCCCATCCCTTCATATGAAAATGACATTTCATTCACACGCAAATTGAATTCATCCTCAGATGAATGGTTGTGACCAGGCTTCGCTTGATAGAGAGGCTCAAGGGAACATAGAAATGGGCTATTAAAAAATGGAATAGCACCTTTTCTTAACAGCTGGCACTTTGAATTTCAATTTTATGACTGCGTTACCAAATCTCTGGAAATGAATTGTCTACGTTTTGTTCTATTATTTTCAACAAAGTCCGTTCAGGTGTGGCTATATGTTTGGTTACTTAGCGACAGGAATTTCTATAGCATTCAGCTTGCCTGTGGTAACAGATCGAGTTAAATAGTCGGTTAATTAAACACCTGACTACACCAAAAAATAGGATTTCATTTGAGTCGTAATTCATCACTTAAAGAATGCAGCATTCGTCAAAAATATTCATGTGGAATATTGAAAAGGAAGGTATCAGAAAAAAAGACTTGACGATTCCAAACAGGCTGCTGCCTTAGCTTCAGGAACAACATAGAAAGCATACGTCAGGGGTGGAAGGATCAGGGGATCGCCTGGCGGAACTGGATTCGGTTGGAAGACTGGAAATGACGAGTTGGCACCCATCACAAGCAAGTTTTCATTAAGTCTCATCTTCCTACAGAGCGAAAAAAACAAACAAATGCTGATTAACGTTTAAACCATCATTATTCTGTTGTTAGGTGAAATTAAATTTCCATTGTACTGTATTATGCTAAATTACTGTCTAAATCAATCTGGTGTTATAACTGGTTTCCAATTCTACCATTATTAGCATGAACAACTGACGTATCAGTTCGACGCGCAATCTTAGGACGTCCCTCAGGACGTCTATCTGGCAATCGGTTGACCATTGGTCGTTAGACGCCAATGGTTAACCCCTAAGACTGCGCGGAAGTCATCGACAACCTTCGCTTATCTTCGAAAATCTTCGGTCAGTAATCTTCGGAAATTTGCGAAAAATGTTCGCAAACACGGTTTCTTGTGGCCTTCAGGCAACTTTTGGAGAATCTTCGGAAACCGCTTGAGATTAACTTTGCGTTGTCCGTAGCGTTTCGGAAATAGAAAATAATATGGGATTTCTCATCGAGAGCTCAACTCGAAATAAAGTTGAACACGAGAAGAGGTTTTCCATATCTAAAATCGAGCATGTATAACTTTGCTAATTACAAATTCAAATAACGACGTTTTGACGCTTTCCGAAGATTTCCAAACATTTTCCGAAAATTTCCGAAGATTCTCCAGAAGTTTCCGAAGACCCCCTGTCCGAAGGCCAAAGCATTTTCCCGAAATATTCCGAAGATTACCGAAGATTTCCGAACATAACCGAATGTTGCCGAAGAAGGATCTGAATGTTTTAATCGGCTTTTCTCAGGGCTGGAAATCCTGAAAGAAGAACAGCGCAGTTGAAGTAAATATTTTGTTTTTGATAGTTCTTTATTTCAGCAGATTGTGGCACGTGTAGGTGTGAGCCATTTAAATAATTATAAAGCTCACTTTCGGTTTCACCTTTCACAGAAATCGAGCGATCTTATTACTGAAGACATGACAATTTTCTACACATTATCACATTACCTTGCAGTTAAAAACTGTTCGCTCATCGGTTCTGCTGACTTTCATTAAATTAGAACCCAAAAATTAATGACCAACCTTGAAGTTATGCATCCCTCTGGACTAAAAAGGTATTCATCGACACCAGATTCCCGAAGATTTTGTCCCAACTGCAGATCAACTGGGTTTTTTGGGTGCAAATTCATGGCCAGAACTGAGACAGCACCCCGCTTGTAAATCCTGCAAGGCCGAGAACAAAATACAACCACGACTTTTACTTCTTGGTATACTTATTCGCGTGAAAGACAACAACAATAACAAAAGCAACAAAAAAACTTTTATTTCACCCCGGAATTAGAAATAATTGATTACAATTAGCTCCCCCGGGAAAATCTCGTGTGATTAGAGACCTTAAGGGCCCATTAACCGATCTTTTCGAGCCGTTGCTAAGTAAAATTTATTCTCATATAACCTCATCATTTTTAGTTAGTTCAGAGTTATTTCATGTGTTTTAACTTTGCCATGATTAGTAACACTAGTGATGACGTCATCAGGCCACGCCCATGGTCATGTGACTAATACTGAAAAAACGCAAAGGCTCTTAGGCAAATTACTTTATCGAGATTTTTTCCATTGATTTAATATTTCAATTTAAGTCATCATTACGCTATGCATAGATTTTGTTTCATTTCTAAAAGGTCAGATTTTGAGAGAATTTCAAAATATTAAAAAATTCGTAATTTTCTGAAAAGAGCATGATTTTGAAAAAGGAATGCATAGCTATCTTTTCAACGTTGGCTTTGATCGAAATCCGTCGAAAAAGGCTGGATCTAATGAAAAACCGCGTTTCCTTTAGCATTTAAAGAAACCGGAAGTGCGCCCGATAGATATTGGAAGTTACCCTATCAGCGCGTGCGCAATTTACACTACCAGCGTTCTTCGGTAAGATCAAACAAAGCCACACGGAGTTAGCTTTTATCTTTCTATTGCTCTTGTTTTTCTGTCTTTTTCTTATTTTGTCTCTGCTTGTACTTTTTTTACTTTGCATTTTGTGAAACACAAAGAAAAACATCTAAAATGTAAGCGAATTTGGAAGTTATTGAGTTGTTTTTATTTACCGCGCTCAGGCTGACGTAAGTAACCGGAAGTGAAATTTCACCTCCTTAGCAACGCGCGCGAGCACGCGCATAAATCGGTTAATGGGCCCTTAAGATACACGTTCAGCGTAAACGTCCAACGCGCTGTTTGAATTAGACGTTTGCAGTTTGCCGTTCGGACGTTAGTCCATTTAGATTGGAGTAAATTGGAGGCAATAGAAATCATCCTATCAATGCATTGGTATTGTCTAAATAACGTCAATATTGAAAAAAAAGACCAAGAGTTTTTTCTCTAGTATGTGTAGATTTCTAAAGAAAAAAGGTTTAAGCCGGCTCCATATTAGATTTCCACTTAGGATCAGTGCCGTTTTACAAATTAAACAACAACAATTTGCTAGGTAATTACTTATTTGCCTAAAAATTATAGCCAATTGGTAGAAGAAGTATTTGTACGTGGGATAAAATAAAATTCAAGGCAATAAAGCTTGAGGCAAACGACTTATGTGAAAACCCTCTTCTTGACGTTCAAAACGCGAGACGAAAACCTCAAACGTGACGTCTGGCTTTGGTCACGTGAATCATAGCGGTGGATCTAAAAGTGTCTATTGAGAAAGTCAGGTGACTCTCGGATCGATATTCAATTTAACATTTAGCACTCGAAAGCCTGCATGCTAAATGTATACAATTAAAGAACGACATCTTCTTACCCAGTCTTGGTGCAATGGGCAAAGATTCTCACCAGTTCGGGACGATGGTTGCCACGGTCTATTCCAAGGACTTTAGTGCCAAACAGTCTTTTATGCAGGACTGCTAACCAATAATCCTGAGTGGATACAAAAAATGGCGTTCTACCTCCCAACTCAAATTTATTTTCCCATTGGAGGTGAACGTGTCACGTGTCATGGATCAAAACTCACTAACTCCCTAGAGAAACAACAACTCGAACTTTGGGCTCGCACGTGATCAGGTCATGCACCTTGAAACCGCGGTAAATTTGAATGCCAGCCGGCGTCAAGTTGAGAGGTATGAAAAAAAAACCTAATGACTGGCCCCAAGGGAAACAGTGACTTTTATGAGGGGCTTGGGGAAACAAAACTCACTGTTTCCCAAAAATGGGTAACACTACGCATATCCGAGTTGAAACATGGTTTGACTCTTAAAGCAGTCAATAACCAAGAATTTAATTTGGAGAAGTTTATCTTGCAGAAAATTTTGAAGATTATTTTCACTAACTGTAATTTAAAATAATTATAAATCTCAGAACGGACGCGTCAAAAAATATTGTAGGTAAAAACCAGATACTACATACCAGCATGTCCACAAAAATTTGAAACCATGGAAAAATTTGGTGCTTCCATTCTGTATTATTCTTTCCTTTAGTATTAAACGATCCTTATAAGTGCTCACTGATCGAAGAATCGAGGTTTGTCGCTCTTTTAAGAGCGATTTCACAAGTAAAGGACTCGCAAGTAGACGCAAGTTGAAAACTTGGGTTTACTTGTTACTCTGTTTGGCCAGGCCCCTAGTGCACTTGCGTTGACTTGCGATGACTTGTGCTCACTTTGGTCGAGATCAAATTTGCATGCAAGTTGACGCAAGCTTTTCACCGTTTGGCCACCCAACCTAAGTCAACGTAAGCTGAGTGGCGTCCATTCGTTGTTATAGCAACCTATTAGCCAATGAAATGCAGGATATGTCTGCCTTGAAATGGGTTTTTTGCGACTTGCATGCACTTGTGAGGAAACTTGCGAGTCTGTTTGGCCACCCAACATAAGTTTCTACGCATGTGCATCTTGCGGCTACTTGCGACTACCTGCGAGTCCGTTTAGCCGGGGCTTAATTGTGTAATAATAAGTTAAAATTAAAAACTACTGACCTTATAAGAACCTGATCAATGTTTACAATATTTACACGTCATAAAATTTTCTCATTCATATCATAAATTAATAAACGCATGGTGAGAGCGAGGGCTTAAGGCCAACAGACTTACAGGATTTGGTTCCAAGTCTTGGCCAAGCAATGAATACTCTCCTCTAAACATTGACTGCCTTATAACGACCTTATAACCATGTTGAGCTGCCAAACCGAGTTTGTTTAACCACCTGAAATGTAAGAAGATGCGGAAAAGATAAGATGCCAGAGAAGGGGAACTGGGATTTTGTCCTGAGTTTATAAATAAAGGGCAAGGTATTTACAACATACATAAACGAGAACGGTTGGCATTTGCAACGAATATTAAGATTCGATATGACGGCTCAAAAATATAATTAAAAATTTCAATTTTTAAAACTAAGGAAGGACTAAGGGCCAACTAAGGGAAGTAAGGACTAAGGGCTAACTAAGGGCCGTACTGGGGAATATTGGCCAGCGCAGCGAGTCCGTACAAAAACGTTTTCTTTTTTGTTAAATTGCAAAACATTGCAAAACCAAGGTCAGGTTAATGTACAACGTAGGGATACAGAATAAAACCGGCCTAATAGCTTAAAACAGAACGAAAGGGCGGACGGCTTCAATGAACCTATGCTCCACACGTACTGGAAAGGAATATGTCAAGTTAAAATACCGGAAACAACTCAGGGGGTGGGGGGTCCCGTATAAAAAGAACAGGGTTGTTCGTCGTACCTTTTAGGCGTTAAAAAGCGGTTTTGAAACCTCTTGGAAAGTTCAGCCTTAAAAAGTCCACATCAGGAGCTTTTGTGATACATTTCAGGGTATTGAGCCCAAAAAAATTGACATGATATAATGTGTTGTTCTAGAATTGGTACTTCTTTGGGGTAAGAATATAAAGCCACGCCCACAAAATAGAAACTCGGTACCTCTTAGGTGTTCTTTTCAAAATTTCCGACCGGCACCTCCGTCCCTTTTATGTGGGAGTCCCCCCGGAGAAACAATAGCGTGTTTAGAAAGATCAAACAAGTGCAGCGTGAAGATGTGAGTAAACAAATCCATACTCACAAAAAGCCAGATACAAATCGGTCTGACAGTCCTTTAGCGCCTCCTCCGGCGACATTTGCAGTTTCACCCAACCACCTGGGAAGATTAGGAGCAACTTGGTCGAGAACTTCATCAGCCTTGTCTAGGCTTCGATGCAATAAGTCTAATGCCTGTGGTACGAAGAATTGGGGTAGGGAGCTTTCCACGGCTTTCATATCATAACTGACAAAGAAAATTGGTGAGTCAACTTAGGACCAAAGGATCGCACGGATGCCACATTTTAACACGTCTTCTGTAACACTGAACGCAACAAGAAGTATTTCTACTCCATCCTGGATTAGGTACTAGTACATGTCTTCATTGCATGGTTACCCACATTATTAAATTCACCGGTGTCCATTAATACACCTCAGTGGGAAAAAGCACTGTGAGTGTTAAGCCCGGTTTCACTAGCAGCGCAAGCACAAGGGCAAGCACAAACGCAGGCAATAGGGATAACCAAAGTAAAAACGAAATTCGACGCAGACACAAGCACAAGCAAAACCATCCGAAACTTCCAAACTGTTTAGGCGCGAGGTAATCTGGATCCAGTGTTTTCATTGGCGAAACTTAACCACGTGTGGTAAATATCCTTGTGCTTGTGTTATGCCTGATCAGTATTTTGTTTTCACTTGTTGCAGCGCAAACGCAAGCATAAGCGCAAGCACAAAAAAAGGCAAAATTTTAATCCTTGTGCTTGCGCTTGCGCTTGTGCTTATGCCTGCGTTAAGGCCGTTTGCACTGTGAAATAATAATTATTGTGCTTGCGCTTGTGCTTGCGTCGCTAGTGAAAACCAGGCTTAGAATGTCTTGCATAATAATACAATGCAATGTTGTCAGTCAGGTTTTGAACTCGGACCGTTCGATTCGGAATCTACTTCAGTCGGAATCTAATTCAGTCTACGAACCTCCGAGTTCTCAAGTTGTGGTGTGAAATATTCTTCTTAACATTATTATATTGATGTAAAATAAGTGCACTCACTGATGCCAAGTGACTGCATCGATAGAGGATTGACCTTTCTCAAGAAATCTGTGAAGGTAAAATAATGATTGTTAAGGTCAGCACATACTCGAGGACATGAGGCGAAGGCATCCTGTAGCAACAGTTTTCCTCGTGTGACACGCCAGCTTTTGCGAAAACGTTTTGTTGCGGGAAAAACAACACGGAACTTAAGCAAAACACGGCAGCAACGGCAAAAAGAATGTCACCAAACAAAAAGTTTTAATGAGCAGAATAGCTGGGCACGTGCGTTATAAATATTTGTGCATTTCATAGCCGTCCTCTTCAAAACAACAACGTGAAATGACCAAGTTTGGTGTATTTTGAAAAACGTGAACCACGACGGCTAATTTATCGTATTTTGCGTCTAGAATTGATCGCTGTCGTTACATCACTCTTTAGTTTGAGTAGGGTTTTAGATCACTCGGCTTGAACAGTTGTAGATAATTGCGAGATTCAAAGGTAAATCGCTCACCCTTTCAAGTAATGCGTGGAATGTCCTCCTGGCTGTGTTACATCAGGTCCAACTAGGAAATTTTTAACGCTAGGTAAGCTTGATAAATGACTTCTTAGTGTTTTAAAGTCTTCAGCAAGTTGTTCAGATGAAACGTATATATTGAAATGCTTCTTCATGTAACGATTTGGCTCTGACGAGAAACGAAAGAAACCGAAACACAATCACATTACCATTGGTAGGTTTTATGGTTGACAACCAATTTCTATGTTGAACAAAACTTGGCAAGGGCTAAAAGACGATTTACCGGACAAAACCAAACCGTAAAAAAATGGCAGCTTGTTTTACAGAGTTGTGGGGTCTTGAGAGCGATTTCTTTGTCTTGTAAAACAAAAAATCAAGAATACAAAGAAGTCAAAGAAAATTTCCCTCGATGTATTTCAGCCATATTTTAATAAAGAGATTCCTCTGTTTTAAGCCCCGGCCGAACGATCGCAACATCTCAACGCAATGTATCGCAACATTGTTGGGCGAAACATGTTGTGCGCGTTTAGCCGTCCTATTGCGACGTGTTGCGACATGTTGGGTGTTGATGGGTCAAGTTTGAAAATGGTCAAATTTTTCATGCAGCAGTTGTGTATGTCGCAACTGGTTGCAACAGGGTGGCTAAACGCGCGCAACATGTTGTGCTCAACAATGTTGCGACTTTTGCGTTGAAATGTTGCGCTCGCTTGGCCAGGGGCTTAATGACTTGAACTCGGTAGTTCGCAAAAAAAAGAAAATTGTGAAAGGCGCGGTGGCCTCATCGTTAGCGCGCTCGTCTCCGGATCTAACGGTCCGGGTTCGAACCCTGATCGGCCGGGGACATTGTGTTGCGTTCTTGAAAAAGACATTTTACTCTCGCAGTCCCTCTCTTCTCCCGGTTGTATAAATGGGTACCGGCGAATTTAATGCTGCGTGGAACCCTGCGATGGACTAGCATTCCATCCAGGGGAGAGTAGAAATAATCTTAGTCGCTTCATGTTGAAGCGACCTTTGGGGAAATTCGCTGATCACTCCAACACTCTTTGTTTGGTTGCTTCTCTTTTTATTTCCACTATTGATGACCTGGGTACAATACTCACAACGTTCTCTTACTTGTTGCT